CCAAGGTGCAGCTGGGTGAGAAAGAACAAAGCCCAACACACCCAGATCGATCCCCATAGAGGTAGGCTGCCATCTTAGCCTTCCGGCTGTCTCTACATAGATTTGATAAACGGTACTAATATGAATATTTTAAAATTAGCTGCAGAAACAGTTTATTTGATTATATATTTTCATATCTTGTGAAATGGTATAATTGTGTAGTTTTAAGATTCCATTTACATGGTAGTTCTTAATTCTTAAATTTCTTGAAAGGAATAAAGAAGTTACATATTTGATGGATGCCAAAAATGGAGATATGGAACTTTTTGTGGACTGATAATGTTTAGAACTACAAGTTTAATTTTATTGTCATGAATTTTGAGTTACAAAAGTGTTTTTTCTGGTTTTCAGCAAAATTATCTATATAAATATAGGTATATTTTTATACATATATGCTGAATGTACACACTTAAGCACAGGACCATTGCAAGAACTGAGGATTTTCTCTAGGTCCAGAGAAAACTTAGGGGATGTAGTGATTCCTACCCCCTTAAAATTTTTGTTTTCCTAACAGAAAATAAAATTATTATTAATAAAAAGCAGTCTTAAAGAGAAATTCTATGTATTTCATTTGTTCAAAAAACAAAAGGCACACTTTTCCGCAGACCACATACCAGCTCTTGATAGCCCTGCTTATGCAACTTGCAAAAGGACATACAGCCTTGAGATCAATCTGAAAAATGGAATGAGGAAACATTGAAAAAAAGGTTCCTAATGTCCGATCCACTTAAAAATTATAAAAACCAAGAATGATTAAACCATTCTTTTCGTGCAAAACATATTGGATTAAATTTACCAAAAGCACTTTTACACAACTGAATTATTCTACAAAAAGATAAAAAAAAAAGTCTTTTACCACCATTCCTTGGTAAGCAATGATCGATAAATATAGTTATTTACTAACAGGAATATGCTCTGAATAGTAATAATGATGGATAAACAAACATTTTAAATAATTTATAGATTCCCTAATTCTAAAGTTTGAGATTTATTAAACTACAATTTTCCAATGTGATCGATTTGGAATAGATTTACTAAGGAGTAAAATTATAAAAACATCAAGCAATCAATAGACAGACAGATTATGATTACTGAAACTTTAACAGAGCAGTGGCAGATCATTGCATCACAGTAAAAAATTTGTAAAAAAAATTAAATCTTCTCATACTTGGTAAATTACCTAATAAAAACATGATAAAATTATAAAAGCATTAAAATATTATACACAAATTATTATGGCATATTTAAAAAAAAATTTATTTTGAAAATACACTCTNACCGGTCACAATTTTTTCGTAGTTTTATAGGAATCGTAATTATAGGGACCGTAATTATAGGGGGGTCGACTGTATTTTTCTCTTCTTCATTGATAAATTTAATATTTCCATTCAAAGTATTCGCATAACTTTCAATGTTCGGTACTGTAGTAATATCACAATCATATAAAATTAATATGTCGTCTACATACCTAGCATAGAAAACAATACCTTTGAATTGGGAGATTTTTCATCAATTGAGACCATACAAATTTCCGCAAGTTTTGGGCCTAACACCGATCCCATTGCTATTCCATCTTTCTGGCGGTAGTATTCTGTGGAAATTGCGAAATAGTTATTTTTAAAAGTAAATTTTATAAAATCTATAATATGGTTAGGTAAATTAAATTTACTTAAATTTTCTACAATGAAATTCCAGTGTATTGAAGGGTACATTGACTTTACATCCAGGCTTATAAATCGGAAAGAATCCTTAATTTGGCCAGGTAATAATCATGAGATCAACTGATCTGTATTTTTAATGCTATATTCGGAATATGGTATGCACTGTATAAAAGCAAAGTAATAGACTTAGCAAAAGTATTTGTTTAATTAATAAAGGAAACGCTAAGTCTAAGAAGAATCCTTTGGATGTGGCAGGAGTCGTTTATAAGTTACAGTGTACATGTACAGTACAACTAAGAAGTTTTACATCGGCGAAACAGAAAGGAAACTTGGAACAAGACTAAAAGAACACGAAGCGGCAATAAGATTGAAAAGAATGGAATCCCCGTGGTACCAACATTGTAGTGTTAAAGAATTGTTGTAAGAATTGTATTATTGACTGCGATAATGTAAAAATACTGTATAAAATAGAAAATGTAGTTATGAGACGTATTGTAGAACACTACTGTATTAATAATTATGTAAATACCATCAATTTGAATACCGTAGTCAGCATAGATGCATGCTGGGATGTGTTGATAGAATATAAGAGCGCTGATGACGTAAGACAGAATAACCACTGATGAGGCTGAAAAAGCGAAATGCGTATGGTGATGAANTAATGATAAATAAATGGTACAAAAACTAGAAATTGTTGAAAAAATAGAATTAGTGACTTTTTTGGTACTGAAGTTTGTCTGCTAATTCTTCGATTGCAGGTTTATACTTGGTGCATTCAAGGCTAAGCAAGCGCCATTAACTTCATCTGTTAGCCGGCTTGTTTTGCTCGTTTTAATATTATTTAATGCTGAGAACAAAGTCTCACAAAAATATGTTGATGAAAAAATGATTAGCAAAGCCATCGCTAGATTTTTTATATCGCTAAAAGTGTCAGGTATTCTGTTCCATGCACTCAAAATTTCTTGTTCGTAGTTGCACTCTTCTTCATTATTCAAACAATTTCGTTCCAGATTTTCAAGTTTCAATTTTAAGTCGAGAAACACACGAGTCCAAATGCTATTTTGAAAATCTGTAAGTTGCATCTCTAAATTATCAATTTGTATCCGTTGGAAATCTTTTAATTCCAAAGAACTGTAAACAACTATATCCGGATACTTAATTATTTTAATGGTCTGTTCTAACGTTACCTACTAAAATTAATAGAAGTGGCGGCGACGTAACGAAAATACATCTGCGTCCAACGATTATAAAATATTATTTGATTCTGACTAAGATATTTTAGCTCATATTCATTTAAATGATAACCAAGAAAAAAAGTTTTAGGTTTATAGTTGTAAAAGAGAAAATAATATGACAAATATTTGAATGATTCAATTTTTCGTCTCTGTCGATGCGTGTCACCCAAAATGAGCTCGCGTGTCACCTCTGACACGCGAGTCATAAGTTCGCCATCACAGCCCTAGACAGATCGCCCAAGTGTTGCGTTGCAGTAACTTAACAAAACAAAGGAAAATTTGAGGATAAAACTCGGATTTGAATTCGGGTCATCCAGAAAGACACAGATCTTTACCGAATTGGCCACCCGTGATATCTGTCTACATAGATTTTTTAAAACTCTTTTCGCTCTGGGTCACTAAGAGGGCCTCTTTTTTCAGCAAACCGGTGGTGTGTTATAACTTCATGGGGCCCAGGTAAAATTTGAATTAGGGGACACTAGCGTAGCGAGGGGGTCTATCATGCCCCAGGCGCCAAATGGTCTCCATGACAAACAAGATTTGTTTCTGGGGGAAGGGGGGCGCCAGTTATGTTTGCTATGCCACTGTTAGGGGACCCATGTAGCATTGACTGCACTTTACTCATAAAAAATTGGTTTGGGCCCCTGCAAAAATTTTTTGCCCATAGGATAACATGCCACTGCAACAAGCCCATTATGGATTCGGTCAGGCCCCCAAGGTGCAGCTGGGTGAGAAAGAACAAAGCCCAACACACCCAGATCGATCCCCATAGAGGTAGGCTGCCATCTTAGCCTTCCGGCTGTCTCTACATAGATTTGATAAACGGTACTAATATGAATATTTTAAAATTAGCTGCAGAAACAGTTTATTTGATTATATATTTTCATATCTTGTGAAATGGTATAATTGTGTAGTTTTAAGATTCCATTTACATGGTAGTTCTTAATTCTTAAATTTCTTGAAAGGAATAAAGAAGTTACATATTTGATGGATGCCAAAAATGGAGATATGGAACTTTTTGTGGACTGATAATGTTTAGAACTACAAGTTTAATTTTATTGTCATGAATTTTGAGTTACAAAAGTGTTTTTTCTGGTTTTCAGCAAAATTATCTATATAAATATAGGTATATTTTTATACATATATGCTGAATGTACACACTTAAGCACAGGACCATTGCAAGAACTGAGGATTTTCTCTAGGTCCAGAGAAAACTTAGGGGATGTAGTGATTCCTACCCCCTTAAAATTTTTGTTTTCCTAACAGAAAATAAAATTATTATTAATAAAAAGCAGTCTTAAAGAGAAATTCTATGTATTTCATTTGTTCAAAAAACAAAAGGCACACTTTTCTGCAGACCACATACCAGCTCTTGATAGCCCTGCTTATGCAACTTGCAAAAGGACATACAGCCTTGAGATCAATCTGAAAAATGGAATGAGGAAACATTGAAAAAAAGGTTCCTAATGTCCGATCCACTTAAAAATTATAAAAACCAAGAATGATTAAACCATTCTTTTCGTGCAAAACATATTGGATTAAATTTACCAAAAGCACTTTTACACAACTGAATTATTCTACAAAAAGATAAAAAAAAAAGTCTTTTACCACCATTCCTTGGTAAGCAATGATCGATAAATATAGTTATTTACTAACAGGAATATGCTCTGAATAGTAATAATGATGGATAAACAAACATTTTAAATAATTTATAGATTCCCTAATTCTAAAGTTTGAGATTTATTAAACTACAATTTTCCAATGTGATCGATTTGGAATAGATTTACTAAGGAGTAAAATTATAAAAACATCAAGCAATCAATAGACAGACAGATTATGATTACTGAAACTTTAACAGAGCAGTGGCAGATCATTGCATCACAGTAAAAAATTTTTAAAAAAAATTAAATCTTCTCATACTTGGTAAATTACCTAATAAAAACATGATAAAATTATAAAAGCATTAAAATATTATACACAAATTATTATGGCATATTTAAAAAAAAAATTATTTTGAAAATACACTCTTGATTAAAATCATAACTTTATTAGTATTTTACTTACAATTATAATTCTTTTGTTAACCTTCTTGCTAAATAATAACAAACTATATAAAACTTTATGGAAAATGTAGTAGCAAAATAGGTTATAATCCAATTATAACCTTTTAATTTCAGCACATTTGGTAGATATTTAAATTATTAGCATAATTCATATAACGTAGCTATTTCCATTGAGAATTAATAACATTGATTTTACAGGGATTCATATATATATATTCAATTTTAATATTTTGTTATTTTACATCATTACTTTTTAGAACAAAAGCAAACAATTTACAAAATATATTTACAAATTTAAATGGTATAAATAAAATCTTCAAATACTGTTATAAATTTATTCACATAGGAATATTAATAAAAAAACTGTTAAATGTTATGATTAAATATCACTCTCGTTCATTCTAAATTCAATATGAAACAATTTTAAAATATTTTAATAAACTTTATATATTTAATATATTCATTAGTTAATCTATTGAAAACAGTTATAAAGTTGTATAAAAAACATTTGTAATAATAAAATAACTTTTCTTTAAAGTGCATGATTTCCTAGTTGCAATTAATATATACTGTAAGTATACAAATATAATTATTAGAACTTTTTAAAATAAGTTTCTCAAATTGAATATATTTATGTTAATTCCCCAAATAGCAGAACTTCCATTCTATCTTTACATAAAATACTTATTAATTAACAAGAGATAATATTAACAAGAGGAACTGTGTTAAACACAATACCAAGTGAGTTTTGATCCAATACATTTTTGCATATCTAACAATCACATATTATGGGACTCCGATTATTATAATAAATTTTCATAATTTTCTGTGATATGAGAATATAGTCCCATTATAGTTCCTTTTATTACCACATTTGGTAGGGAATCTAAAAATAAAAAAATTCATTTCATAAAATTAGATATCTGTATTAATATACTTAAAAGTTTCAAAATTAGCATACCTGGTGTTTCATTAGTTTCAGGATATGGATTTGATACAAAAGTGAGAATTGGTTGATGGGAATGTCCAGATTCAGTATTTCCTATAGGATTGCTAACAAAAAATAAAATTATGTTTATTAGGAAATACAAAATTATACAATTAAATATCTATGACAATGAATATGCTCATCAACTTATAGAATAACTGAATTATAAAAATGAGTTTTACTCTAAATCAAAATAACAATTTTACAACATAAGTCAATACTTTAATTATCACTTAAATGATTAAAAAAAGTTTAAAAGTATTTATATTTAAAGAATCTAAAATGTATTTAACTTGATCAAAAGCAATCTTTCCTTCCAGAAGTTTCTAAATTAATTTTTAAATTTAATTACAATCCTAAATTACTAATCTTACAAGCTTGATACACTTTCATGATTTATTTATTTGACTAAATTTTTTAATACATAAATGAAATTTATAAATTGCAATATAGAATTTTTTTTATTGTAAATTCACTTTGAAATATATTTTTATTAAAATTAAGCAGCATAATTAAATAAGACACAACAAACAATGAGATTTTTAAAATACAATTAAGATTGTTTCTACAAAAATTAGCTATTATAATTTATTTGTTTATAGCAAATTCCATAACAGCATCCTTAGAACATCCCATATCAGATTACAGGTATTTTTAATAATGGTTAGTACATTAGTGATTAGAATAATTCTTTTCTAAGGATATATTTTTCAACTGAACTTATCAACTTAATGATTTAGAAACAAATTTTTCATTTTTAGTTTTAATTTATCATCTTTATGAGAATTATATATTATGTATTTATATAGTGTTACAAAAATTTGAAGAAAAATAAAAAACCATCTAAAATGTTAATACTCCAATGATTATAAAATGTGATTGTCAATACTTTATATCAAGGGTCAGCAACATTTCAGTAGTGTTGTGCCAAACCTAAGTTATATTGTTATTCCAGGTGCTGGCATAATTCTACCAATTTTGTTATAAATTATCAAAATTGGTCCGGTTGTAAGACTTCAAAAATATACGATTTTGAAGTTAAGATGTTAATTGAATTATGTTCTTACATGTGAAGTGCATGCACAATGCGTAGATGGCAACACAGAACGTAAATAGCATGCACTGTAATATAAATAGATATAAATATACATTGTGTGCTATCTCTTGCTTGTACATAAATACACAAGCAAGAGATTTTTAATGTACCATAGCCTACACCTTACACTGAACTTCCATTTAAATGTGTAATTAATAATTAAAACAATTTTTACTACATTTCTATTCAATCAGAATGCCACTGAAAATCATCTCACATGCCACTTTTGGCACCAGTGCCATAGTTTGCCAACCCATGCTTTATATTATTGTTTATTGTTTAGGCAAAATGACTGCAAAAATATTTAAGGATAACGAATCCCTCAAAATATGTAAAAATTTAAGAACTAACAAATCAATCTTATTACAAAATATTTTAGCATTATTCATATTTTTTTTTTTAAATAACAAATATAGGAAGCCAAGTTCACTGATTATTTTAAATGAAAAATTAGAATATTTTTAACTTAATTTTTTCCAAAAAATATTTCAATAAATTAGAAAAACAACTAAAATCACTTTAGCTCATAGATTAACATGTAGGGATTAAAACTATAAATTTTTAAATTATATTAATTTGGCTAATTGGTTCTGAAAAGTTGTAACAAAATATCAAAAAGTTTAGCCAAATTGAGATGGCATAAAATGCTGTTTTTACTGTTTAAATAATTAAACATTTAGTTTCTTTTAATATCCTTTTTTTTTACTTTGTTGCCATTTAGCTAAAAATCTAGTGATATGTCTAGTGAATCCCTAAACATACTGGAAAAAAAATTAATGATAAATTTAAGAATTTCAATTTAGTTAATAATAGAGTGATTAAATGCATAACAAAAATGAAGACTAAATAAATATATATATGTATGTCAGAGGTCACACTGTGGCACTCTATGCACTACACTTCTTTTCCAATTGTGTAAAGAATTTCCAATTCTTTTCCAAATGTGTGTGTGTGTATATATATATATATGTGTGTATATATATACACACACACACATTTATGGACAGAGACACAAGGAGAGTCACCATCATTCCTTGTCCAGTATTTCACCAGTTCCTCTGTAGATATTGTGTGATCAGTTAAAAGTTAAATTATTATATGGACTGTTGTCTTACTCCAGGATAAAGTAACACAAGCACATGGTCAGGGTCAACACCAAGTAGCTCAACAAGGTAGAATGAATTTATATTATTCCATTTCACATCAGTCTGTTGATGTTACAGGCACCTTGATGCCACAGAAGAATATGTTTGAAACTTAATTCAGTTATTTAGAAAATAGACTTACCTAGATCTACCTGAATCTACTGCAGAAAGTGATAAGAAGGATAACAATTCCTTAGGAATTGGCTTCATTTTCAACAGTTCCTGTATAAAAATTAGTAGAATAATTATATACAGTAAAATTTTCAATCTTTTATTAACAATTTAAATTATAGAATATACCATAGAACTTTTATTAATTCTTAATATGTTTATCATTTTACTTTCAAGAGTGTAAAATAATCCTTATATGTATATAAACATAAACACTTGTCCCTCAATTTATGCAGAGTATTCATTAATTTTTTTTTTATATATGATTGAGAACTGTGTAAATTGAACCTGTCAGTATAAAAACAAAATATCTACAGTACAAGAAAAGTCTATGTATGTTGTATAAATATTTATTTTACATTAACTTCATATATAAACTTAATTTATCCTTAATTTTTTAAGACATTAATCACTTCTTTTACTTTTTAAGTCACATATCACAACTAATCAGTGCCAGCTAAGAATGTTCTCTTAAAGAACGAAATTAGCCAACAGGTTCTAACATGCAAAATATTTTTATAAATATACTCTTGCCCAATACATACATTCAAAAAATTATTTACTTTTACCTTAAATAAGATAAATGTGAGGATTTTTATTTTTATTCCTATTTTAGGATTTTTAATTACATATGACACAACTGATACTGAGAAAAATGTTTATTTAATTAATTTCTGGCCAAGCCATATATATACCAACTGTAGTACACTATTATGTAATTGGTTTTGAAAAAAATGTAATACAGTCGACCCCCCTATAACGTACGTTCTAATAACGACAATTCCTATAACGTAACGAAAAAATTGTACAAACTCTCGTAAAACATACCTCCCATAACGTCGTTTCGCGACAAGATTGATAGAGTCTGGACCAATAGTGGATGAGCAGCCGAACTACTTTCCTCCGACCCTGCGCCACGCTACGGAGCGGCTAAATTGAGTTTGCTATCGTCTGTTTAGTATTATATATAAATTATATATAAATTAGGTACTGTACATATAATTATATATTAATTATATATAAATTAGCTACTGTATATATAATTATATATTAACTTAATTTATTGTAAGTTTATTATAATTATATATATGCTTTCTGCCACNATATAAAATAATCCAAAACAAAATTCTTATGTATTTGCACATGTTCAATTACATGCTATAAAAATATTGTAACTTACGACAAAATTATGAACAAAACAATAAATAAAAGTAGTAAACTTTCTTAAAAATTTTGTAAAGTATAAAATATTTACTTAAATTTTTTAGAGCAATTTGAAAAGCTTCAATCTGATTCAATAATAAAAGAACTCTATACACACTGCTAAGTATTAACAAGATTATTCTCATATACTGTAGTGCACATACACCATGAAAATAATGTAAATTTCCTTTTGTATTTCCCTCATTTTCCTATTGATTCAGTAAAATTCCTTTATAATGTAATTAGCACCAACATTTTCAATTATTAGCATTGTTTCAAAAAGAAATTAAAAGCTTAAAAATATATAAAATTAAATTTTGATGAAATCGCTATTAAAATATAAAGAAAAATACAATGCAATAGTAATTATTAAATTTTGATATGTAAAACACACTTCACTGAAAAAAGATTGGCTTTATTACTTTTCCAGCTGTTGTAACAGAGGGAAAGTAGGGTGATTTGGCAAAAAATGACCCTCCAGATTTTTACATTTTTGGACTTAGGACACCTTGAAACATTGAGAAATGCAAAAAAATTTGGGGTAATCTCTGTTAAATGTTTTTCCATGTTCGGTCACTTGGAAAAGTTTGATTAAACTGAATGAAAATGCTTGCAATTAATAATTCTATTTATTTTTGAAAAGCTATTAAAGTATAATTAATAAAAATGCATGTCATTTATCTAAAACGTTGTTAAATAATTTAATTTTATCTTAATATTTAAAAAAATTCTTAGTGATACTCTCATAAAATATGAATATAAACATTTATTTCAGACTTAATAAAAAAAGAAAAATCTTAACGTAGCTTACTTGTTTGTGCATAGAATGAAATGCTCTATATCTTCTTTCAATTTTGTGACATTTTCCAGTAACAAATACTTCTATACAGAAAACCTAAATGTAATTTAAATTCTTAACATTTAAATTTAATGTAAACTTAATTAAATGTTTGTTAATGTTTATATTTAATTAATGTAAATTTTCAATACAGTTATAAATAAAGACAAAATGATAAAAAGAAATATCAAATATATTTATCAACTACTAAACTGTTGAATTCTTCAGTTAGAAGCCAAATTATAACCTAAGTAACTAAGCAATATAATTTGGCTTAAAAACAGCTTGTTATCTATAGATGAAATTAGCCTATCTTTAGACCAAATTATATTGTTTAATTAGTTGTTAAGTTGTAGCCCAAAGAATCTGACAGTTTAGCAGTTTATTAATATAGAGGTATGGCAACTGTTTATGTATATAAAAATATTTATTGGAAAAATTGTCCCTTACCATCTAGTTGCCTATTATGGGCCTGTCTAAACCCATGATTTATATGATTAAAAAAGTGCTCTTAGTACCCTCAGGATGGAAAGAGTAAAAAAGAAAATTATGTTAATTTCTCATATCACTCTACAACCCATTTCACTACAGAGATTTTTACATTACTCTGTTGGTCACAGTTTATGAACACTAAATTTACAGAATAATAATTTTATCAAGTGAATCTTTTTTTTTTTGTTGCACTTTCATAATATTAAAGTCTGGTAACATTGAATGATGGTGATAGTCATCATTATAATAATGATTTCACTAAGACATGAAATAATAATAATAATAACAATAATGTGAATAGGAGAGCAATGCCCCTCACGTCAGGTCTGATGCCGCCTGTGATTTTCTGGATCATAGATACCTTCAAACTGCACAAGGAGCTATGTATGTAGGACTTTTATGGAGTAAGGGATGAAGGAAGAAAATTTTAAAGAGGCAAGAAACCTGGAAGTAATGCACTCCACTATACATTAAACCATTAAATAACAACAATTTATTTGGTCAAGTTTATAAAAATTTTTATAAGAGAACAGAATTAGTGGAAGAGTCCATTCCTAAAAGTGCTCTGAACTGAGAGAGAGAGCATTTACAATTTTGGATGCGAGTTGATAAATACCTGGATGGTTAGTGGTGATGATTGCAACTTCTCAAGAAGGGAATGCTTGGTCTGAGTCAAGAAGGGTCTTGTTTCATCAGTAATGTTTAGGTACTTGTTCTTTAAGGGAAACGGTGATAGTCCAGTGGAAAAATTGATGGGAGTTCAGGAAGAGTGACGGTCAGACAGTGAGGAAGTTAACACACAATTTAGGCAGGTAAACTTGCTGCTGTCATCTGTCCTCTTGCCTTTAATTTGGGGTCCTCCTCGTCACTCTAATACCCATTTTTGGAAAAGTTGATGGTTGCTCCAATCCATGATTTTTTCCTATTTCCCTCAATGAGTAGGTTTTCCAGAAGTTGTGTCACTCACAGAGGAAATGCTATCTGTGGAAAAATTTTATGAAGTTCCTTGACTGCATTTGTGAAATGGGATCCCTTTATTTTTTTACCAAAAAAAGTAAGATTGTAATAATCAAATTTACACTAGCCTGGGTTCTCACAATAATGATTTAAACTTATAAAATTAGATGATGCTCATCAATGGATTTTTTTCAATTAAAAGATTAAGGAAAGTGGTAACTTAGGGTAGCTGAAGACATGTTATAGAATACTCAATAATAAAATGTTACTTATTAATGTTAATACACATTATATGAATATAATGAATACACTAAAACTTTCTGTGAATGTCTATTTTAATTTTACTCATCTGAAATTAAATTCTATTTTGCTTATATTACTGTTACTTGCATCTAAAATATTTAAAATCTATAATTAGGAAAACAAAATATAAGTTTAATGAAAATCTAATACAGTAGAGCATTGATTATCCGACTCAATTGGGGACTCGGGTTGGTCGGATAACTGAAAAGAATAAAAAAAATACATTATTAGTATAGTATATTAGTATATCCCATGTAATTAGTATATTAGTATATAGCTATTAACCTACTTCACATTGAATTTTCATCGATGTTAAGCATAACAAAATCTTTTAAAAAATAATAATCGTCACTATTGTTTTGTTAAAAATTATTTTTAAATTATTTTATTGCTCACAAAACAAACAACCACTCATAATTAGAAAATTAAGTCTCATTTAAATACTGGCCTCCCTTTCATGGTCAAGCCAATGTTGCCAGCTAAAACACACAAAAATTTAACAAAAATAATATTAAAGTAGCCAAGACATACCCAAATATTGTAGCGCCACATCACTAGTGGACATTTGAAATTTGCCGGCTAGAACAGTCGGTTAAACGATGTGACGGTTAATTGGGGGTCAGATAATCGATGCTTTACTGTAATACTATAAATCTGTACATTGTCAGCTCTATGTGAACCACTTTTTATTGGTGGAATGTGCATTTCTATGGCAATAATCTTCAAATTCTTCTTGCAAAAATCTGTTAATCACATCATTTTAGTTTTTTAATAAAAGCTTAACAGTGAGCAAACACAATTATATTTCTTATAATTTGATAAATCTTAACTTATTGCATTTTGCAGTGTATTTTAGTTAATTTTAAGATAGGCCATAACACCAGAATTAATTAATTTTCACAAATGAAAGTACACTGAAACTCAAAAATTAATATAAAATTATATCTTGAATATGGCACTGATAAATTTCACTCAATAATAATATCCATGGTAAACACTTTCAAAGTTAAATACAGTATATCCAAATTCAATGATTGACAAAATTAGATGTTAAGTTTAATTGCTGTAATGGACAGAGCCTAAAATATGCATTTCAGATTAGGGTCAACAGAGAAAAGGATGACAATTTTTACAAAAAATGTAGCTTTATAATAGCTTGCATGGTAAAGCTTGCATGGTTTAAAAAAAAAAAAAAAAATAGAAATTTATTTTTTACGGATTTTTTATCACTACTAAGATTAAGTTTTTATAAAACAATTAATGAT